TATATATTAATTTTTAATTGAACATGCACACTAAATGTAATCATACTTACTGGAATGTCAAACAAGGATGTTGGAGATGTCGGAACTACTTCAAATCCTAAGCCATACAATGGAGAAAACTGTTGAAAAAAAATACCAGAAAGAATTCATGTATAGTTTTAACGACCACATTTAAGTTACAGGAAATCCAGTAATTAATTATATTTAATTATATAAATATTCATAAGGCTATATTAATACAATTTCTGCAATACACAAACTTACAGGATCATCTTGTGGCAGACCAGTATCAATAGCAGATTCTGTAGATGCTTCAAATCTTTGGCAAAACTCTCTCAAATCCGGAGTCTTTATATATCCCCCTGACAAAGTGTTATAACTTTCAACTAACGAATGGTAGCTCTGAATATCAGTTGGACTTCGTAAAATTGCCACCTTGCTGCCTGGGACTGGTGCTGGAGTTGAGGATTGGAGGCTCTTAGAAGACTTCTCAGAACGATCTGATTCTTCAAACGAGTTGCCTTTTCCATTTGAAGGAAATTCTTCAAAGGATGATGACCAACCTACTCTACCAATTAATGAGTTGCCAACACTTGATGGCCCATCATCATCACCCTCCTTGTCTTGATCTTTCGATCTCGCAGGAATGTCTGTTCCTCTAGCTTCAGATAGTTCATTGCCATTATTTTCAGCATCATCTGATGGAGACACATTCAGAGTACTTTTTCCACCACTTCCACTACCAGCTGCTATGTTCTCTTGAGTCAAGAGAGATGCATCATCAACAGGTGTTCCCAAAATAATCTTTAGAGCCTCATCTTCATTTAACAACTGGCCTACGCTTGAGCTTGGCTGTGACAATGACACAGCTGGACTCGGAGGACATTCTTCATTGTATCGAAAAGCCATGTTGTCATCCAAAGTACTGGCTACATCCACTCCTGACATAACTGGACATGCTCGCAAGGGTGGAGTCCACAACCCAGCCATTAACAATGGCTGATTGGTCCATACATTCAAGAGACTAGAGTTGCAAGCTAAATTAAATGAAAGAGTCTCAATGCCTTCTATTAAACGTTGAGCTACATCTAGTAATTCTGTGTCCCTAATAAAAGCAGAATGACGATAGTATGGTCTCAAGGCACTTCCATCTCGACGCATTGCTTCTAAATATCGAGATAATAAACAATCATTAAGAGCCAAGCGGAGCCACGCTCGACAGCGGCCCACATCTGTGGTTATCAGCGATAGCATGTTGATCTGCAAAAAGAAACTTTATCAAGATTAAAATGTCAGTAACCAACATTTTTTTTAAAGTAATAACTGAATGGGTGGCATCATGATTAGGTTGAAACTAATAAAATAACTACAGTAGTTTCCATAAATATTATACATTAATATTATTATAATTAAGAGATGGACGAGAAGATAACATATTCCACCTGCCTGGGTGCAAATTAGGCACTCAAAATATTGCCCATTAACATCTCCCAATTGCGTTATATGGTTCATAATTACTCACAAAACCACAGATTTGAAATGCTTCCTAACGTTTTTTTAACAAAACCCACTATGAAAACTGGAAAAAATTCTTTACCTATAAGGCAGACATACTGACTCAAAATTATCATTAAAAAAGACATACGACCCCAAAGCAGTATAAGTAGGTCAAATATTTATATCTGAGTAAGGCTGTGAAATTTCAATCTGATGCTCTATAAGAGACAAAGGACAAATGATAAACGACAATGTGAAAAAATTTTAAACATTCAGACTACATATATAAGAAATAGCCAAAAATAGAATTATTAGAATGGTATGGTACAACTTTAGCAATTAAATACTGTTGGATATCTTACTAACCTGGTCAATTATCTCCCTATGTGAGAAAATAAGTAGTGGACCCCAGAAACTGGGTTCTGGTCTTTGATCTGGATCACCTCCAATGGCTTGAGATACTCTATTTAAGAATGTATCTTTCAAGCCGTGGATAAACATTGCTTCCAAAACTGTGCATAATGAATTTTGTGCATAATTACTAGTCACTTCTTCGAGTCCTTCATTTGCTTGTTCCAACTGAATTTCTTTTACACTGAATGATAACTGAGATGTGAGAGATTCTTTAACAACTCCTTCACGTCCTCTCAATGACACCACACTTCGTAAAAATGAAGACATTATCACTTAAGTTCTTCAAGGCTTCAAATCCTTTAAAACACTAATATTTTGAAGACCTAAATATGCACTGAACAGTTTATCTTACATCATGCTCATGAGTAGTTCCTAAAACAGTCCAGCACTACCTTCTACTAATTCAAACATTTTTAATTTTTCTCTCACAGCTGCTAGACATACTCCTTTTCTTATAACAGAATAATGTCCCTTTACACTTAAATCTATGATTGTAGATCCAGCTCGCAATTCTTCATTTTTTAAATTACTGTCGTCACAGAAAACAGCACCTATGTGCGGCCACAGATGTTTAAACTCCTCCGCTTCTAAACTGCTTGTTTCACTACTTGAATTAGCACTTGTCAATGCAACTGGCTGCTGAACCTGATCAACAATGTTTCGAATGAAATCACTACCAGGAACTCTTATACCAACTTTTGGGTTACCTGGATTTAAAGCTGCATTCAAAAGTGGCTTACGTTCCAATATGACAGTCACCTTTCCTGGCAACAAAGCACTCAAGAGCTTGGGAGGCAAGTCATCAACTTTTGCCCACTTTTCAATGTCTTCAACTTGTGACAAGCAAATGGCAACTGGTTTGTTAGGATCTCTTCCTTTTATCTTATACATAGAATTTATAGCAGATGTGTTCTGCACAAGGGCAGCCAAACCATACACCGTGTCAGTGGGCACTGCAATGACATATCCAGCCGTCAAAATGCGACACGCCTCACTCACCAACTCTGTTGACATAATATGATGCAGAGACATAGAGGACACAGTAATACACCCAACGAGAAATATCTGAAATAATCCACAGCAATTATTTCACAACCTACAATCAAAAGTAACTGTTGTAACCTCTAAATCACCCAATTCAAATGCCTTGCCAATATCATATACCTTCGCTCAGACTTCAAATAGGTTAGTGCATCGGAAGAGAGTGACTTTTAGAGTAATTCATGCAATGTTTGTTATGAGTCCAAAACTGATCGATAAAGTAAAAAGAACGCTCAAATTCCTATCCACGAAATCTTTCCTTTTACCATTGTCACGTGCAGAATGCCACATGCCGTCATGATCCCAAAGCACGAACGTCAACGCTTCATCAGGATGATCACGATCTGTTTCCGACAGAGAATAGTGCAGTCGCTTCATTCGCATGCCACTTCTTTACTCTCTGATAACTTTTCTTATTTCACAGAACTTCAAACTTTCTGAAATATTGCTTTATTCTTTAATAGATCATTATAATACTCTCTGGAATCAAGTCGTATTCCTAGACAACAGACTAATACAGGTTCAACTGACGGCCCGCGGTCCCATTTATTGTGGCCAGTGAAAGGTAGTTAGTGTAAGTCCCTTTCATCTATCCATGTTGGGCGAGAACATTGTGCTCATAGACAAAATGTGGGTGCTCTGTGATTGTGCGCCTAGCGTATGCGCCCTGTTTGGGTTAACACCCACAATAAAAAGAAATATTGTTGAGTTTTGATTTATGGGGTTTTTACTAGTGAATTCAGAAATTCAAAATCATCTGAATTTGTTTTACTGCGTTATGCATGTTACAGCCTGATATCACGCATGGTCCATATTTTTAATACCCTCCGTCCACCCTGGTCCACCCCATTTCACAACACAACCGGCTAGCACAGAGGGGAGAGGGCTCCAGTGCATCGTACCTGACTGCAGCTAATGAGCTTCAGACACGAGTTTCCGCCACAATATTTGCGTGAGTTTTAAATGCAAACGGATACCAAAATTTATTCCCTCGTTACAAAACATTGAAACAGATTTATGATGCATTTCTTTTAAATATTTCATCTTGTACACATTCATGGTGACATTTTTAGTTGTTTAGCGTTGAAAATTGACCCTTTGTACCACTTTCAAAATGTTTCTCAAAACTTTTCGCTCTCCATGCAACATGGCGTCCAGCATCTGGTCTGACTTTTCCACGAAATATTCAAGTATCTTCGTGGGCTTTTCAAACGCATCTAATGTATAATATATATTATCTACTGTATAATATCTTAATCTATCTCTATCAAGTATTGTAGTATAATCCCTAGGCCAATGATACCATTTCAATCAGCTTTTTTGTTTAAACGCAAAGACAAACACAATTCATACAATTAAAAGTAAATTGAAAGGTTCCCTGATTAACAACATGTTCTATAGAGTGAAGGAATATTCAAATCATCATTATTATTATTATTATTATTATTATTATTATTATTATTATTATTATTATTATATTTATTATTACTGCGCGAAATAACGGCGAATTTTCCGCAGAAAAATTCCTATTACCGGGCCTTGGTAAAGGAAAAGGGGATAAATCCAGTTGCTATATTTAGAAAAAAAACCCTATCACATGCCGTAGACAGAATCCATGTTTTGTGGGTCCTTGATACCGAAAATCGAATGACGGCAAAGTTTCAGTGAACAACGCTAGCGACTAAACCGTCCGGACGAATATCTCCAAAATTGATATTGCCCCATTCATCTATTTTTCGAATATTGCAAAGGTTCAAAAAATGTCAGTGTCTTTCTATAATTAAAATATTAAAGATTATATAAAGATTTAAATATTAAAATATTTTTCGAGTCGAACGGGGACTGGTGCAACTTCTTGAGCTTCACTCCACTCTTCTTCCTTTTCATCCTCGACGACTTCTTTTGGCTTTTGTACATCGAATGATGCGTGTTTTTCACATGAATCTTCAAGCTTGTCGGAATTGACACGCACATTGCAGACAACTTCAGGCTTGAATCTCATATCGTGACCATCTTTCATTGAGTCGGAATCCAGACCCTGAATCCATCCCTGTCGTTCACGAATCCAACCAGGTGGGCCGTGAACAGCCTTATCGTCATACTTAAAGTGGAAAGTCTTATTTACCGATGGCGGTGCAAATGAATTTTCTATAACTAGCGAACGAAAATGTTTAGTTTTTCAAATGTTGCTGATCTCGTGTTTTTCTAAATTTTATTATTGTATGTTGTTTTATTTTTTAAACTTTTATTCATCTTTCAACTATTTGTAGTTAAAATGTTGGAAAGGGGTTCTGGAACTCAAGAAAACGTGCGCAAATGATCTCCCCATACGTCACATACAGTTTTTACTGAATAAATAAATGAATATTTCTTAGTACTTGTAGTTCCTGTAGTTATAATTTTTCCTTTTGTTGTCGTATTCGGTACCTACTACCTTTATTTCGTATTCACATGGGACAGAAAGAAATTTAGAAGTTCTCTACGGTTTACAATGTATCTGATGAAGTTAAACAGCTGATTTGGTCAAACATGACCTCATGATAAAATCTCGATCGTCATAATTCAAACCAACCCATTCTTTCTCGCACCCTTTGTCTTCGCACTAGTGGATAATATTCCGAATCATTGCTGGAATCGTCTTCAAATACTATCATTCGTAATCGTCGAACCGTAACAACACTTTGGAGGTACATGCACGTTGAAAACTGAATATACTCCGTACTTTACCCGACGGATTTTCGCGGTGTAAAGTTACTCTCGAATTTACTCTCGTGTAAGCGATTTACACTCGAGTAAAGTGTTGGTGAAACGCTCCAAGAAGTTACTCTCGAGTAAAGATATTTACTCCAGAGTATAATCTTACTCTTTGTTTGGTGAAACCGGCCCATAGTAGTGCACCTTGCTAAAGATTCAGTCGACATGGGTCTGTCTACATTGGCGGGGATTTGTTCACCAGTTACCATTGGTCGATTCATCCGTCACAACTACTGTGATTACTAAGATTATGAATTTTCTATTACCACAAATCCAAAATATAATGCAGGTCGCGTTACGAAAATGAAGCGTAACTAGCTCAAGGATTTAAAATTATTAAACTGGAACGCAAATGGTTTAAGTAAACAAGAGAATATATTTAGGAAATTTCCACGAAATCCAAATAGCTTACGTCACGGAAACGCATTTTTATCCAACCGATAAATTCCAGATACCTGGATTTCATATACATATACATGTACATGTACATATACATATACATATACATATACATATACATATACATATACATATACATATACATATACATATACATATACATATACATATACATATACATATACATGTGTTCAATGAGGAAATTTTAAACAGTATGAAGCAACCTATATACTCCGCAGATGTAAGAACAAAATTCTTTTCCCCCGCAGAACTTAAACACACAATAAACAGTCTTAAAAACAGAAAAGCAGCTGGGAATGACCTTATAACTAGACAAATATTAAAAGAATTACCGAATTTCACAATTGCAGCAATAACAGCTGTATTAAATGCAGCTTTAAGACTAGGTTATTACTCAAGCAAGTGGAAAAACGCAATAATCATTCCAATAAACAAACCAAATAAATGTCCACAACTACTACATAACTACAGCCTACTACCTTCATAACTTCAGCTTAAGTGTTTGATAGACCGATTTTAGCCCTGCTAAATAAATTCTTATACGCTACGAACGCCATACTTGATGCCCAATTCGGCTTTAAGGCAAATCACTCAACTGTACACCAAATTTTAAGAGTTACGGATTTGATTGCAAAGGGTTTTCACGAGAAAAAGTACATGGCAGCTCTGTTTTTAGACATTACTAAAGCGTTCGACCGTCTTTGGCACACAGAACTGAAATACAAATTTTTCCAGCTAGGCATCCCTAAATATCTTCAAGATATAATTGGAAGTTTCTTGCTAAACATATCATTTAATATTAAAATACATGACACCACGACGGATAAATACAGAATTTCAGCTGGAGTTCCACAAGGTTCCCCACTCTCACCGACTTCATTGAAAATTTACCCAGCCTATTTTCCGGAATTAGTGGATACAGAAATAGCCTTGTTCGCAGATGACACTGCCATCCTCTTCATAACATGAAGAACTGGTTATTGCTATGGAAAACTTACAAAATGATTTAAATACCTTAATTAATTGGACTGATAAATGGAAAATCCAGATAAACCAAACAAATCACATTCTAAAATGTTCTCGCTTAAAAGTTTCATAATCCCTCCAGTGTTAACACTTAGTAACAATCCTGTTCTCTGGCTAAACAGTAACCAACCCGTAAAATACTTAGGAGTTAAATTAGATAGAAGATTAACTTGGAAGAACCAAATAATTAATAATGCTAACAAAACGTATGCAAAAATGGTCAAACTTGACCCACTAATAAATAAAAACTCTACATTAAGAATAGAAAACGAAGTAACAATCTTTAAATCTATAATACGCCCGTCGCTCACCTATGCCTCAGTGTGGGGAGGCGCCGCAAACACGCATAAATTGGAATTAATTCAAAACAAATTTCTAAGACTGGTCACCAAAGCTCCCTGGTTTATTCTTAATGCACAAATCCAAAGATAATTAAACATTAGCTGCATTAAAATGTACATAAACAATCGATTTTTTAAATTTAAGGCTTGAAGCTTGTACTAGCAAAAGAACTTTCAACCTTGGCCGTACAGCTTATGCACCATCCAGGATATTGTCACGCTTTCCAAAAGATCGCTTAAAGCCACCATAAATTGCTGGTAATAAGGTAATAAACAATATAAGGGATTGTATTAACGGTATTTATGTGTTATTCACAAGTGTGGTATTTTTACTCAATGCATATTTCGGTATATTTTTGTATAGCTTTGTATATTTTTGTATATTGTTTAATTTATAGATATATTTTTGAATATTTTTGTATTAAAGGTAAACATAAACTGTATATAGATTGCAAAATAAGCTCAAGTAAGCATACTTGTGCCCTGATGTAAATGGAAGAGACTGTTAAGTCCTCGTGTAATGTATGTATTCTAAATAATAACTCCCGAAAGGCCTAAAGGACCGTACGGGCAAGAAATAAAATTTAAAAAAAAGAAACTGATGGATACTTTACAAATTCATGAGTTTTATAGGAAAATTCGATGACATATGCCAAACACAAATAACAGTTTGTGGTGTGGTTGCATGACTCATGCCATATCTTAGAAAGGAAACTCCGAATGGCTGTCCTTCGCCTTCTTTATGTACCCGCGCAAGTTTCATGCACGTTTCCAATAGATGTCAAAGCAGTGGCGGCTCCAGGTCATGCCGTTAGGATGTACAAGGTTTCTGTCAGTCTGTC